GCATGGGGGAGCGCGAGGGCGTGTGCGTGGAGCGGTGCGGCTGCTCTGGCTGGGGTGGGTGGGTGGGGTCTTGCCCCGGGCGGGGTGGGAAGGTGGGTTGGAAGCTGCGCGTCCCCGCCTCGGAGACGGGGCTGGGGCCCAGGGGTCAGCCACGCCCCCCCCTTACATACACCACCACCACCACCACCACCATGCCCCCGCCCCCCGCCGCCCACCAGGTCAAAGTGCGACGACTGGCCCATGTCCGTCACATAAATGATCCAGTCGGCCTTCTCCGTCTCTATGCGGTGCTTGACTGCAGGGCGGCGGCGGGGTGGCGGGGAGGGCGCCAGGCGGGTGGGGCGTGAGCCGGGGAAGAGGAGGAAGACGCGGGCGAGGAGCGGGCAGTCCGTTCCGACGCTCAGGCACAGAATGTGCTTGGGAGCTGTAGGGCGGGCAGCGCCGCGGTGGGCGCGCTGAGCATGCTGTGAGGCATGCGGCGGGCAGGTGGATGTGGGCTTGTCTGTGCTGCAAGCTCGTTCTTGCTGAAACTAGACTGGAAGCTCACACAAGCAAGCACAAGCAAGGGGGGCGGCGCACCCGCCGCCATGTCTGTGGACGCGTAGCCAAAGCCGCCGTCGCTCTTCTGCACGATGAGCGGTATCTGGGCGCCCTGCGGTACGGCGGCAGTACCAGGCACGCGGCGCCGGCAGCTGAGCTTGCGGTAGTGCAATGTGCAGTACCCGGGGCCCGGCTGCCTGCTCGGCAGCTCTTCCACCCGCTGCCCGCTGTGGCTCTCCTGCCAGCTGCCGCAGCCAGGCCCTCCTGGTCCTCCTGCCCACGGGCCGCCCGCCCCGCCCCGCTGCCAGCTCAGCCAGCGGAGCCCACAATCTCACCTCCACAAACACGCACTTGGCGCCGTCGCTCTCCTCCGCGATGCCTCGCTGCATCAGGTCATCCACCACTGCGGGGCACCAGAGAAAGGGTGGGGGTACCATAGGTGGTTAGCAGGTGGGTACCATACACTGTTTGCGAGAGAAAGGGGGGGGGGGGGGGGTCGGTGCCCTTCAGCTGCAGGGTATGCAGGGTTGGGCCGAGCCCCGGGCAGAGCCCCACACACTCCACCGGGCGCTTTGCTTCCAGCGGCGCGGCGCTTCATGCACCCACCCGGCTTCAGCATCGGGTTGTAGAAGCTCTCGCCGCGCTCTGCGGCAGGCAAGGAGGCGCAGGACCAGGCGCTCAGGCGGGCGGGGCGGCCAGGCATGACGGGACCGCCGCCAAGCAGCCCCGACCCTTCCACCACAGACGCCTCCAGCCAGGCAGCAGCCCGTGCCTGCCCAGCCCGGTACCGCTTGCTGCCTCTGCGGCAGTACAGCAGCGGGGCACAAGCGACCCGCTGCCTGCAGCCGGCACCGCCTTCCACACCACCACCACCACCACCACCACCACCACCACCACCGTGCGGCTGCACGCCCAGGCAGGCAGGCAGCCAGGCAGGCAGGCAGCCAGCCAGCCAGCGCAGGCGGCCCTGCCGCCGCAGGCGAGGCACCCACCCTGCAGCTGCACCCCCAGGCGGTCGTAGATCTTCTGGAACTCGCGCCGGCTGGCGTCGCAGATGCGCTGCCAGGCCTGCACGGTGGGAGGGGTGGAGGGGGTGCGCGGAGAGGAGGGGTGGGGGCAGAGCGCGGTGAGGTGTCGGCTGCGAGCAGGCGGCGGGCGTGCGGGCCGGAGGGGCGGGCATTGCAACCTCGGCCCAGCCTCGCCGGCATTGGCCCGGCGGTACAGCCCTGGAGGCAGTACATGGGGCCGCTCCTCCCCATGGGCTGGCCCATGCAACGCCCGCCCTGCGGCCCAGCCGCCAAGCCCCCGCCCCGCCCACACACGCCTGCAGGTACTCTGGCCGCCCGCCCTGCAGCTCCGTCACCGCCTCCCGCGCCCGCTGCTTGAACGCCTCCTCCTCGTCAAACCGCTGCTTGGCGGCGCGGTACAGCACCTGCGGGGGCGCAGCGGCGGTACCGCCGGCGGCTTCGTCGCAGCTGCCACCCCCGCCCGCAGGCAATTGCTTTCCTCCTGAGCGAGCCTGCCCCCGCAAGCTCCTGCTGCGCCGCATCCGCCAGGCCACAGGCGGCAGTACAGCAGCTGCAGTACGGCAATGCAGAGGCGGTACGGCACCTGCAGGTCCTGCACATCCTCGTCGCTGGCGGCGTTGAGCCCCTCTGGCCGCTTCTCGGCGATGTACTGGATCAGCATGCCAAACTGGGTGCCCCAGTCGCCCTGCGAGGGGCGAGACGCAGGGGGCATTGTTTATGATCAGTTTCATGCCGGTTCAACTGTTGGGGCGCCGTTCGGGGCCGGGGGAGCCGCAGGGACTAAAGGCGCCAAGTGCCGGCCGCCGAGAGCCGCCCGCTGGCGGCTGGCTGCGACAGCACAGCACAGCAGGCGCAGCACCCGGCCAGGGGTGGGGCCGCGGGCTGGCTGCAGGCACAGCCAGCAGCAGGGGGGGCTCTCACAATGTGGTTCAGGCGCAGCACGTCGGCGCCGCAGAACTCCAGCGTGTGGGCGAGGGTGTCCCCAATGATGGTGGACCTGCGGTTGGGCGGTTGGGAGGAGGGAGGAGGGCAGGGAGGCGGGGAGGGAGGTGGGCAAGCGGTGAGCAGCGGGCCGCAGCCGCGCAGCGCCTGCCCCCCAAGCCGCGCCCGCGCTCGCAGCAGGCGCCCCCCAGCCTCGCCCCGGCGCTGCCC